CACCTTTGCCCTCCTTCAACAATCCACACTTTCAGTAATTTTAACTGCTTTTGAATTAAGTGTGCAAGGACACTTCAATAGCACCCTTGAGGCCTTCAAAGTTATTTCACTGAATGCAGGAAATGAAAATAATCACTCATTGTCGATTTCTGGGAAGGCCATTTACATGTACCACCAGTACATGTTTGTTAAGTGGCTTTACTTTATGCCCTTTTTCATTTAATTGATGCCGATTTATTCAGACCATTATTTGACATGACACCCAATGCATGTAAATTGTGGCCCACAATCATGCAGCAACTCTGCAAATCATAGACATACACGTGTACCGGTACATGCTTGCTTTCATACATATGTACAGTGTACATGCATACATCAATATTCATTTTATGTACATGTATGTACATCAACAGTTTCACATGTACAGATTTGAACATATACCTGTACATGTCAAGTACATGTACACGTATGTGCAATACCTGCATGTGCACGTGTGCGTATAGTTTCATCAAATTCTTTTTGTAAAGGCCCCGGTTTATTTAATGCTTGCAGTGATTTGTTTGCAGTCGGTTCTTTTAGATTGAGAATGCAAAATCAAAACATTAATGATTAATGCTTTGACAGAAAAAATTAATTAAGGAATGTTGATAGGGAAAAAGTTGAAAACAGTTGCGCAACACTGCGATCATTCTTTTTGTCAGGGGGATGGAAGGGGTTTACGCATGATGTGCGTACAATGGCCTGTGTGCCTATTCCATTCATTGAAAGGGGTGTTCATAAGGAACTGTATCATTTAAAGCTACAATCTCCGGCATTTTTATTATCTGCAAGGATTGTTAAAGCAATCCTTCTATTTTCAATATGTACACAAGTCCTTTGGAGATTCTAGTAAAGGATTCCCATTTGTTGCTTCTCGATCCTGCTGTGAATCCTGCAGGCGAACATGCTTATAATGCACACAATGGGCCGTGATCTCCTCAAATTAACACCCCTAAAATCCATGCATAACGGTTTAATTTGTAAAACTACCACCTTCAGCATTGAGTTTTTTTGCTGAAATGTATGTTTAAAGGCCTCACCTTCAGACTGTAGTCCTTTCAAGCAAATCCTTACCCTTCAACATGACCCTTTTTCAGCACCGTTATAAAAAACGAGTGATGCGTCCCATTCAAATGTTCTCAATTGGGTTTGGTACGCATACATGTACGCGTCAAAAATTCTTTACGTTTGATCCAAACTTACCGCGTGGAGATGCTGCATGCACAGCCAACCAACGCCACAGAAACTTGGGCAAGAAAGTTGGAACGGCACAGTCAAAAAGGAATAGCAAGTAAACAAAATGAAACAAAATATTTATCCTAAAGACAGGTTTCATCTCGAAAATTACCTTTTCTGACAAATGAGAGTCCTGCATAAGAAATATATTATACTACGGGTTTAAATACTTAGAGTCACACTTGAAATGATCAATTATTACCAACTGTTCGTGGTTTCGAAGACTCATCGTGGTCCATCTCCACGCAGCTAAGAAACAAAGGATGTGCACGCCATCGACACACAAGACTGAATGAAAAGAGTTTGAACGTAGGGGGCGCTTGTCGCACAACACCCTTCCATCCCCCCCCATTTCTTTAGTCACATTCCTTGCAAGTCCGTGCTAAAAATTTGATGACCTTGACTACTGAAGTGCCATGGATTGTGAGAGGATCTAGAACTACATTGTATTTCCTGAAATGATACAGATGTGCATACAGTGCAATCCCGTTAAATTGGCACAAACCAAAATTTTCCTGTTGCATGAGTTTAAAAGCCCATAAAAAAAGAAATAAATGACTCTTAACTTTCCAAACAAAGGCATTTCAAAATCCCACCCACAAAGATAAAAGAGACATTAGAATTCATTGCCCATGAATAGGCTTTTTTTTATTCCCCCCCCCTTAATCTAGCCATGGATACAGATTTCACAAGTCGCAAAGAATAACAAATGAAAATCTGGAAGTTAGACAAGCGTTTTAGCGTTTTTCCAATTTGGAGCGTAGAGTTGATGACAGAAGGTATGACAACAGTATTAAACAATTGGCTGCTTCAAAATTGTTGGGTAACAGGCAGTGATCGCCCTATTACCGATTGAAAAAGGGGGATTTAATGGTTGTAACACACATTACAACATTTTATTACTATGGTAGAAATTACGAGCTCATTATGTACACAAGTAAAAGATTACATGTAGTCTCCGGTCTTCTTTATCTCAAAATAATGCTGGGAAAATCCTTTTACAGCTTGGTCCAATAGCTACCAGAAGCATTCTTCGAAACACGTTTCGGAACATACGTGTACATTACCATAATTTCAAAATTATTTGTTTTTCTTACAATTGATCATCACGCATTAAGAAATTAGAAATTCAACAGAGCCACCATTAGTTACAGACACCCTAGCAACCGATTTAGAGATTTTTTTAAAATGCGGCCGGGACCATGCTGCTGCTGGCGCCAAGATAATGGATGCAGATGGTTTGGGTCATTTCTGCCTCTACTTTTGTTAACCCTAACCCCCCTAGGGTTGCTGGCCCTAACCTTCCCCATTCACACAAAGTT